GTCATCTTTCAGTGTTCTATTTTATTTTGCTACATTCTTTTGATAATAATTTAGAAATTAGATTTTTGAAAAATTAAAATATACCCTGCTATAGATGGCATAGTTTCTCTTCTTCCCTCCTTTTAGGCATGCTGCTTTCGGATTCAAATTCCTCTGACGTACCTTAAAAAAAAGAAACAAATAAATAATAAATATGACGAATATGAAATATATGAAAAAAAATTTTGAAATATTTGATATAATTTAAAAATTTATTTATTTTATTTTATTTATTTTTCTTTTATTATTTCATTTTTTTAAATAGTATTAAGACATTCCTAATAATATGAGGTACCTAATAGACTAATGATGGTACTTAGAATGTTGATTCAGATTACCTATAATACTATCATTGGTACTAGAAGATTGATTCGCAACAAGCACACTTTGACAAGGTAAGATAGCTTCGTTTTGTTCCTTTAATAACATTCTTTTTAAGTTCCTTTGTCGAATCTGAAGTAATAATGTCACACATTTCTCTTTCCGCTTTTTCTTTTTTCTTTTTCTTTTTTTTTTTTTTTTTAAGGTATTGGGGGATAAACGATGAAAAAATTGCTTTGACAAAAATAAATTTCGACAGGAAATTTCATCTCAAAAAAAAAGGATCATTTTTTCCCCATTTATTTTTTTTCCTGGATTTTTGAAATTATTTATTAAATTTAATAGCATTTCTATACTTATCATATCAATGGATATGAATGGATGTGATCAGGTGAAGCATAAATACCTTCAAGTAATGATAAACTTGACTTGCCTAGGTTATTTATTGTCAACATTAGTGACAATCTTTTTATTTGTCCATTGTAAATTTAGCAGAAAAAAAAAATGGTGAAGGAGGAAATTTAAAAAAAAAAAAAATCACTTAATTCTATAAGATTTGAAAAGATTATCTAATAAAAATAATAAAATATAGCCAATATTAATAGTTTATATTTATTATTAAATATGTGTTATCATGAAATAATTAAGTTTAACTATTTTTTTTAAATTAAATAAAGAAAAAAGAAAAAAAGAAGGAAAAGCATTTAGTATTATTAGGATAACCTGTTCTTCAAGTCCGGTAATTACAGCCACAGCTTGATGTAATACGCCTAATTTTGTTTGAGTCTTATCAGAGCCTTGTTGCAAATGCTGTGCACACATTTTGCCAAGTTCCTTGAATGCCATATTTATATCTTTTACCCGAATCCTAAAATTGCATAAAATGTTTATAATTAAACGAATTAGTTTCAGTAATGTTAAATTAAATTTTAATTAGGAATAATAGTGAATAAGCAAAATTTGATATATAATCGACGAAATTTCAAAAGAAAAAAAAAAGCTAAAGTATGATATGAAGATTTCAGGAAGGTAAGTATTTGAATATAATCCATAATAGGATATGATTCCAAAAGTTTCGGATAACCTGTTATTTTATAGAAACTGTAGGATAGCCAGGAAGTATATCCGACCAAAATTAGACCTTTGTATGTGACAAATTAAAACAATTTTATTTAACCATAATTCTAATTAATTTCATTAGGAGCTTCCCTTTTAGCAGATGAAATACGGATGATGAATATTTGGTAATGAATGACAATGTGATCAAAGTGATCATCTGAGAAATCAAACTGATCATTTCTGATCATGAAAGATTATCAATGATAGAGATATTTGATTGTCTAAAGGGATCGGAATTTTTCAAGAAATCCGTATTATAAAAAATACTGTGCTAAGATTATTTTGCCTATCTGGTTCCATTCCTAGTTACATTCATCAGGAAGCTAAAATCCGTAAAACATTTATTACAATTCCTATTTTCACCCGGAAACTGCAAGAATCTATTCTCTTCCGGAAAACATGAAGTGGAAAAATTGATGAAAAAATTGTGTGAGCTAATGAAAGTACAAAAAGAGTAAATTTTTTGAAGATTATTTTTTTAAAAGATTTAAAAGAAAGAAAAAACAAACAAACAAACAAACCTTTCACGAGCGTTGTTAGCACTACGACGATCAGCTTCACGATCATCATTTGACCTAGCATCATCATCCGAATCTAATTTTACGCTTTTTGATCGTTTCTTAGTACTAACACGAGGTGTACTCATTCCGATGGTACCTAATGATGATGTTGAAGTAGCTGATGTCATTCCATTCATACTACCAGGACCACCTAATATACCACTATAGTCGAATTGATCACGTGATACCGGTACTCCTACACCGCTTACCAAATCTGGTCTAACGGTACCTGGTCCGGTAACAGGTGACATAGCTGAAATTTTTGTTAATCTTTTTAATTTTGAAAATTTTTACAGACTTGAAAAAAAACAATTAACATTTAACATGCTTAAAGCTTTTTTTTTTTTCATTGATAAGATTAATTCGTTCCAGTTTATATTAACATTATTATTAATTATTAATGCTGTGATATGAAAATGTTTAATTAAAACTTTCTTTTTGTGAATTAAATTTTTAATATGAAAATAAACAAATAAAAACCAAAGTAGTTGAGGGAAAAAAAAAAATTATACTATTATAAGGATCCAACGTTGGAATTAGTGGTGCAGTTGCGGTAACATTCCTCGTATCCTCAACACTTGTTACCCCAGCATTCTGGAAAATTACAGGAAATGAAAATTGGAATTGAATATGTATATTGGAAATTACAGTAATAATTATAAAAGAAGGAAAGATCAAAAGGGATATAATAACTTCGAAATACTATAATTTTATCCAATATTTCACGATTTAAATAACAAAAAAAAAAGCAATGATTTTTCAAGGGATGACAGTCATTATTGTTTGTTTCAAATAGTGAAATGGAAATTTCCATTTTTTTAAAGTCAATAATTGAAATTTAATGAAAACAAAATTAATTTTCCAGATGAATAATTAAATTTTGTGGGAAAAAAGTGGCTAATTAGTTGAGAGGAACAAGAAATGGTTTGAATTTTTCCCTCTTTATCGCAATTCCAAAAGTTTGGAAGTGAATTGCTTTAATTAATGTGTAGTAATACAATTTTCCACGCCAACATTTAAGCCATTAGATCAATCTTTGATAGTAAGGAATGAATTTCCTGATTTAAAATGAGTTTCATCATTTCAAGTAAACCTAGCAATTATAAAATGAATTTTAGTTTAAAATGAATTTCATAATTTGAAGTAAATCTAGCAATTATAAAATGAATTTTAGTTTAAAATAAATTTCATAATTTCAAGTAAATCTAGCAATTATAAAATGAATTTTAGTTTAAAATGAATTTCATAATTTGAAGTAAATTTAGGGATTACAAAATGAATTTCAGTTTAAAATGAATTTCAAAATAATTCTAAGTGAATTTAACGATTTAAAATTAGCTATCAAATAATTGTATTTTATAACGATATTTTCAATGATCCCTCACATTCCTTCTGCTTTGTTTCATGCAGTCAACAATTGTAAATCAATCATCAATCAAATTATATTTCGATAATCAATTTTTATAATTACAAGGAAATCATTTCATTCACTTCAAACTAACCAAACAATCAAACTAATATAACCATAATCATTATCCTAATAATCATAATCATTATTAGGATAATGATTATCATTCATTATCGTGATATTTTCCAACGGTTGTGCATATATGTATGTATGTATGTATGTATATATGTCTTCGATTTATTTATTTTTTTTAATTTTCAAGAAATTTCACTTCCTTTTTTTGTTTCCACCAATCCAAATGTTGTTTTTATCATTGCTTTTTGTATGCTCATTCCGGAGAATTCATACAATAAACGGTAGCAGTGATATTTAAGCAGGAACAGGAAGGAAAGTAATGAATGAGAGGAGGAAGAGTGAATGAATGAGAGGAAAGAAGAGGAGTATGATAGGATGAGTTTTGAAACAAAGAATGGGACATCATTGTCACAAACAATGAACAGATGTTGCAGGTTTTTCGATGGTGAGGAAAGATGGAATAAGAATGAAATTCGGGGACAGTCAACAGAGAAGATGGATACAAGAGAGAGGTATCTTACTGATGAAAAAGGAGACAATTATTTTGAAAGGTCATCCAGGCAAAATTAAAAATATAAAAAGCAGCAATAGTTCATAGTTTTTACAACAATCTATGATTGTTTTGATCATTTAAATAGGAAAAAAAATATTTTTATTTCTGAAAATTATGAAATTTTTTGGAATTTAAAAAAACAAATTTCTAAATTTAATATATCTGTTTTTCCTTTTTTCCGTAAATTTTCATAGGATTTTTGAGATTAATGAATAATTTCGTTTCATTTTAATTAAGTTTAATTTTAAGTTATGAATGCCATCAATAAGTTATGTTCCATTTATGTCTGTCTAATGTTAATATAGGAAATGCTTATTCATAATAGAAATAATAAATGGAATAACGATCATTTTAAAATGGTAATAGGATGATGATGATGATGACGATGATGATGATGATGATGATGATGGTGTAAAAAAAAAAGGCAAGGTAAAGCATTTTCGATATCTGTCATAAACATATATTCCTTGGTTAATATCATTTTACAGGGAACTTATTATTTACTTTGACAAGCTTATTTTAAATTGGAAAAAATAATGAAAACAAAATTTCAATTAATTTTCTTCAATTGGATAAATTTTTCCTCTTCAATTTTTAAATTTAAAGGAAAAATACATTACGAAAAGATAAATTAATGCAATAATTTTTGACCATTATAAAAGGGAGTGAGAGGGAAAGAGAGAGAGAGAGAGAGAGGAGGAGAGAGAGAAGAAAGAAAGAAAGAAAGTATT